GAAAAACCACTGAAAGTGGTATTGAAGGGGGTAACAACAGCCTTCAAAGAAGAAGATGTCGTAACTGAACTGGTCTCAATGGGCTTCACTGAGGTCATTGTCAAAAGACTCCATAGACAATCGACCAAAATACCGATGAATATAGTCCTAGTAGAGCTACCGAAAAATGAACACAATAAACGAATCTATGGAATAACCGAAATACTTTACCAAAAAATAGTCGTGGAATCATTCAGGACTACAAAACGAGTGACCCAATGCTTTAACTGCCAGGGTTTTGGGCATGGCCAGCTAAACTGCTTTTTGAAGCCCAAATGCGTCAAGTGTGTTGAAGAACATCATTCGAAGGATTGTCCAAGAAAGTCGAAACAGCTCCCACCAAAGTGCGCTAACTGTGAAGAGGCGCACACAGCCAATTACCGCGGATGCCCAAATTTTCCGAAGCCACAACAACAGCAGCTAAAGCCTCCCAGACAAAACTCCCCTAACACCTTACCTCAAGCAAGCTCCACTAAAACAGAAGAAGCAACTGTTGAAAAACAAAAGGCAAGTTACGCGGAAACTACAAAAAAGAAAACTACTCGTTCTGACACCAGGGAACTGTGCGAAAAGTTATTAGAAATTATCAAAACTTACTTACAATGAAAGGAAAATTACCTTTAAAATCGTTTTCTGGAATTGCAACGGAATCAAACTGAAAAAAGAAGAATTCCTACAGTTTTTAGAAGAAAACTCAATAGACATGGCACTTCTCAGTGAAACACACTTAAAACCATCTGTCGACCTCAAACTCAGAAACTATCAAACAATAAGAGACGATAGAATCGTTGGAAGGGGCGGTGGAACGGCAATAATTCTAAAAAACTATCTTAAATATAAAAAAGTGCTGATTCAAACATCTAACATGGAAAACACTACAATTCTAATGAAACCAGATGGAAGGGCAGTAGTGCAGATATCGTCAATCTATAAGAAACCCGATCTACCACTCCAGGAGGAAGATCTGAATCTCTTGTTAGAGAATAATCAATCAGTAATCGCTGCAGGAGACTGGAACTCCAAGCACCCTCTTTGGGGCTCAAGAACCTCCAATAATAGTGGAACCGTGCTTCATAATTTTTCCGAAAAAGAAAACCTGGACATTGTCGCACCTTCTTCACCCACGCACTACAGTCCTTTGGGAAATCCAGACTTTTTAGACATCGCAATTCTTAGAAACATCCCCTGGACTTCGAGGATTAAGACCCTGGATGCCTTACCTTCAGATCACCTCCCAGTAATCCTAGAGCTGACCTGCCCGAAGGATGAATTCACGACTAGGGCTTACCGACTCACTAACTGGGTACACTTACAACAAGACTTAATTTCCAGTACGCCTCCTAGAGTACCCTTGAAAACGAAAGCCAATATTGACTCAGAAGTGACCATACTAAATGATAAAATCTACAACAGCTACTCAAAAAACACAGTTATATCATCCTCTTCATCAAAACAGAACCCCTCAACCAAGGCCTTGATAAAAGAAAAGAATAAAGCTCGTAAGAGATGGCAAGCAACCTGGGATCCAGCCCATAGAGCCATTTATTTAAACCTACAGGGAAAAGTTAACAAAGCCCTCAAATCCGACTCCACCGAGAACTGGAATCAATTCATACACAAGATTGAATCAAGCCCAAAGGACTTCTGGAGAAAAACAAAACCCATCAGGAAAAAAAACGGAAAGGATCTCAAGTTTAGTAACGAACGGCAAAACCTTATTGACCGACAAAGAAATCGGAAATGAACTTGCAGAACACTACTCCAACCAGTTCTCCAAGGAAAAAGAAGAAGACCAACCAAATATAACTTATAATCACCAACATGAAAAAATGCTCACAATGACGACACCAAATGAAGTCAAAGAAGTGATTAAATACTTAGCTAACCACAAAGCTCCTGGCCATGACAATATCACTCCGCAAATGGCCAAGAATCTTCCCATCAAATGGATTGTATTTCTAGCTGGAGTATTCAACGCCGCACTGCACTTGTGTTACTACCCCAAAGTCTGGAAGCATGCTATCATAATTCCAATTCCAAAAAAATCCGCTAAATCCCCTGAAGATCTAAGACCTATCAGCCTCCTCTCCACCATCGGCAAAATTTACGAAAGAATTATTCTACGTAGACTTCAGATTTACTTGGACAACTCTAACTTCATCATCCCGCAGCAATTCGGATTTAGAAGGGAGCATTCAACAACTCACCAACTCATTGCAGTTCTGGACTACATCCAGATAAGAAGATCCCACAAGGAAGTGGTAGGTGCTGTCTTTCTAGATTTTGCGAAAGCATTTGATAAAGTTTGGCATAATGGCCTTATAAAGAAACTCACAAAACACCAGTTCCCAAGTGACATTATCAATTTTATGCAGAATTATCTACAGGGCAGGACATTTTCAGTCAAGCAAGGAAATTTTATAACTGAACCAAAGCCAATCCAGACTGGAGTACCTCAAGGCTCTATCCTCGGACCCTACCTTTTCAATATTTACATTAATGACATCCCACTGCACTCTAAATGTAAACTTAAGCTCTTCGCAGATGACACAGCAATTTTATTCAACTCTAAATCAGTCAACCTATTGGTTACTCAGCTTCAGAGTTACCTAAATGACATAATCAAATGGTGCGATGAGTGGAAACTAGACATTAACCCAACTAAGACTCAAGCAATAGTTTTTCCCCCAAGAGATAACAAAAAATTCAAGCCACAAACCAACTTGACAGTAAACTCAAGCACTATTAGTTGGGCCGACCATGCCAAGTATCTTGGTGTCACTTTGGATTCGAAATTAAAATTTAACCTACATGTCCAAAACACCATAAGAAAGGCAAAGATAGCCAAAATATCTCTATCAAGCCTGCTTAATTTTAAAAGTAATTTAACAACAAAGCATAAATTCACGTTGTACAAAACCTGTATTCTACCCATCATCAAGTACGCACTACCAGTCTGGGGCAAATATATCACACCTACGGATAAAAAAAGAATAGATGCCTTCATGAGGATTTGCTTACGAACCACTATAGGAGCCCCATTCAATCTTTCAAACAAAATTCTCAAAGAAGATCTCAACCAGCCTAATATAGAAGAGATTTATCAAGACTCTGCTACAAGACTATTCTCGCAATTTCAAAAATCCTCAAATCCAACTATACAAGAAATTGTTCAAAACCAAGGTGACCTCAGCCACCGAATCCGACGACCTGGACCCAATGGCTAGCTGACAGCCAAACACCCAACAACTGCCCTCCTGTAAGGTTCGGGGGGCCACTCCAGCATCACAACTCGCCATGTGTAAATAATCTGGACAAGGTGACTCGCGAGCTGTGCTCGAATGTAACACCTGCAAATTGAGATGAAATAAATAATGTTTACTCATTTATTCTTTTGTCTGATGATGGTGACAATGTTGTTGCCGAAACGTCACACACTAATAAATTATTTGGATTAGGTCTTATTTTCTTTTATTATAATCTATTATCCAAATTGTGCTTTATCATCTTAAAAACTAAATTAATTCAACATTAATACAAAGCAATAACGTGCCATTTATATATAACAAATGAAAACATTAATACACAAATTTTTCTTTCACCCATAAAATCAAACTTGTACTATCCTTACTGTGATGAAATTGATGAGCCCTCCCAATATATTTTTTCATTGTAATGCCAGTAGAAGTTTTTGATTTATGACTGAAAGAAACATTCACATCTTTTCATGTTTTCAAATACAATAATATTACTTATAGCTACTAGAAAATAAGACTTAATCCATGTAGTTATAATCTATAACCCAAATTATGATTTATCATTATTGAATAAGCCATTTAAAAAAATTGCTTATGAATATTTTGAGTGCATAACACCAATATCAAAGAAATTAATGAAAGGGTAGTTGCACAATTTGTAAACATGGATACATACACTTTTTCTAGTACTAGAAGAGCTTTGTAAACAATACAAAGCAATTTAGTGTTTTTGTTAATTAGTTAATTAATATTGTTTAGTTAATTAATAGTACAAACACTAAAAAAGTTATCACTAATTTTAATTTCATTAAGAGAGCTTTAAACACGTCAAAGACTCTCAACTAGATATAATTAGATATTAGATAAACGAGATATTTTTTATTATTAAAACCAGATAATCGATACTTTTCGTTAACGAAAAGCCCTTGTTTTTAGGAAAACTAATATTGGGTAATTAATAAAAAATTGATTTATTTTTAATTTTAATAGATGATTTAGATATTAAATATGCTATAATTTTATAAATATTGATCAAAAAGTGTCTTAATTTTCTAAATTTAGTAATTAGCAATTTTCAAAAATTATTAGCGCCATCTATCGAACTATATTTGAATTATTTTGAATATTAATTTTTATTTTCCGATTGGTGTAGTGATCAATAACATTAAATAGAGAATATATATATCATACTAGCGGATGTGTACCCGGCTTCGCCCGGGTTTTATCCGAGTGAAAGTTTGCCTAATGAATATTATATATTATGAAGTATAATAAACAATGCTAAAGATTAGTTTTAATTATTAATCAAGATTGTGTGTGAATATGTGAGAAATATGTAATATCGTTTTTGTTTTCTTGGCCGACTGTTTTACATATGGTGTTATCTTAAAATTGCTTGTTTTGAATATTTTTTTAGATTGAGTTGAATGAATTGCTGAATTTTTTTTTGTATTTATATATAAGTAAAATTAACTCTGTTGAATTTTTTTGTATTTTATCGATAACAGCAAAGTTATGTATTTTAAAGTTAGGAAAAATATTTTGATGTTAAGCAAAACCTGCTCCATCTCGTTTTACATAAATGTTGAAAATTTGGTCGAAATTGATGCATTGTAACGAAAGTTTTTAGCGAACACCACTTATGAAATTTCCATTTATATAGAAGATATAATATAAATGAGTTTTAAAATTGTAAAAAAAAAATGCATCTGCCGGAACCCTGGCCGCCCGCGTGGCAGGCGAGCATTCTACCACTGAACCACCGATATGCTTTAAAAAAATCAAATTCATTTATCGTCGCGACCAGTGCTGCGCCCTAGCGGTAAAAGACTGGAACTAACGCTTTTTGGTTTTTTATTTTTTAAAAAAAGCACATTAACTTTTTTAGTTTTTTGAATAGCCTATATGTTAAACGAAATCTTCAGCTACCTACATGCGAAATTCCATAATGATTGAGTCAGTAGATTTTGCGTGATGCGATAACAAACATCGATTTCGCATTCTAAAAATGAATAAAAGCCACTTACTGGCACATTCAGATAGATTGGACATATTTCCTATTTTTAGAATTTCTCAAAGAAGAAATTATTATATAAATTTCTCAGAGGGGCAAGCATGATAGATTTTATTTAATTTCATTACTGATCTAAATCATCTCTTGAAATGTCACACACACACACTATTTTTTTTTTAGATTTGGTCTGATTACCATGTGTTTAAAATATGGAATCTGAACCTTCATAACCAGTGCTGTAGTCGTAAAATTAGCATAGGGTATACGCTTGAGAATATAAATTTTTGGTAAAAATAAACAAGGTTATTTTTAATTATATTTTTATTTGAAAAAAAGACGTAAAATATTACATACAACTTTTACATAAAAATGTCCCATAATGACTGCCGAGATGCATCTGTATTTTTTCTGGCACAAACTCTTGATCTAGTGTCAGTAGATGATCTATGATATAAAAGCCATGATTGAACGTATTTTTTCGGCTGAAACATTTCGATTGGTGGTCCATTTGAATTTATGAACATTAAGTTCGAAACATTTGATATTAGCAAAGAAGTCCGCAAGTTTGTTATTATATCATTCATCAGGCTGAAACCTCGCTCACATTCAGCTGTTGAACAGGGCAATGTTGAAATTGCCCTGAAAAATGGTTGAAGTGTTTCGGGAACATTGTTTTTATCATCAACAAAATCTCTCAAGCCGTTAATGCATTTCATTTCATCTAAGTTAAACCTTCGACAAATACGTCTCATTTCGACCTCTCCATATCGAACATTTTCTGCGTCAAAATTGTTTGGTTCTGATATATAGCTAGCAATAAATATGTATATATATATATGTTTCTATGAAAATGTTAATCTGCAAGACGCAGGTTATCATCATCCCTTTTTGATTTGTTTTTGTCACTCATTTGGCGTTCCGAAAATAAACAATAAAAGGCTGTATCAGACTTTACTAAGACAATAAAGATTTGCTAAAAATAAATGTGTACGAAGATGTTGCATTTGGCGACGAGGATGGGATATAAGAGTAAGTACCCTCGAATTTTGAAGTAAATATTTTTAGAAAATATCTTTGATTTTGCATATAATTGAAAGTAAATTTTAAAAGACACAAATTGCAAAGTTTTAGGATGCAAATTTAAGAAAGAGTGAAAAAAAATGGCTAGTTACCAATTTAAGGAATATAATGAGGAAACTGAAACTTTTGAAACGTTTTATGAACGATTGGAACAGTTTCTCATATTGGAGGAGGCAGGGGATGAGAAGAAAAAGGCTTATCTCCTAACCCTCATGGGAAGTAAAACATATGGTGTTTTGAAGAATTTGTGCAGTCCTATTCTACCTAAAGATAAAACTTTTGATAACCTAATAGATATCTTGAAAAGGCACTTCTCTCCAAAGCGCTCAATTGTAGTAGAGAGGTTCATTTTTTTTAAAAGAATGCAATTAAAGGAAGAAAGCATCTCGGATTACTTGGTGGAAATTAAGCGTTTGGCTTCCTCATGCAACTTTGGAAATTTTCTGGAGGATTCTTTACGTGATAAAATGGTTTGTGGATTATATAATGCCAAAATACAAAATAGAATTTTGTCGGAGGGCGACATTTCTTTAGCTAAAGTAATTGAGATAGCATTATCTATGGAAGCGGCCGAGAAAAATACAAAATTTTTTCACTTGGAGCAGGGTGAAGATTGTGTAGATAAGTTGAGGATGGAACGCAAGGTTGAATCAAATTTCCAGAATGGCAAATGTAAACATTGTGGTAAACAGCATAAAGAACTATGTAGATTTAAGGAGGCGATATGCTTTAAGTGTAATAAAAAAGTGACAAAAACAAATCAAAAAGGGATGATGATAACCTGCGTCTTGCAGATTAACATTTTCATAGAAACATATATATATACATATTTATTGCTAGCTATATATCACCATCTTCTCTCTTCAAACACGAAATCTCACAGGCGGTCTCCTCGCTCGAGGTGGGTTCCGCCTTAGGACAGGACCCTCCTCTTTCAAGGCCTCGGGGTCCAGCGAGCGAAGAGGCTCCAATGACTTTCCATCGTCTGTATCACTCTGAACCTCTGAATCTTGATCCGACCGCTGGCTAGTTAGTCCTGGCGACAGCGACTCCATATAACCTCTGTCTCGTACAACCTCCGAGATTATGGCACTGGGACCTGCTCCTCTTGAGTGCTCGGGTTGACGCTCTCCATCTCCACTCTCATCTTCCTCACCATTCCTCCAAATTTTTTTTTTCTTCGTACACATTAGAAAAAGGTGGAGGAATGGTGAGGAAGATGAGAGTGGAGATGGAGAGCGTCAACCCGAGCACTCAAGAGGAGCAGGTCCCAGTGCCATAATCTCAGAGGTTGTACGAGACAGAGGTTATATGGAGTCGCTGTCGCCAGGACTAACTAGCCAGCGGTCGGATCAAGATTCAGCCTGGGACCTGCTGTGTACGAAGATGTTGCAGGTTCTAGAGCTGAAATATCCTTAATTAATTGCTCATTATCTTCATTTGATTCTGTACACAACCTTAATTTTAACTTTTCTATTATACTTAGAAGAAAGTTTTCTATCAATCGGAATAATTTTGGCATTGGGAACTAATGTTACGCTCCTAAAAACTAAGTTTTCTGCCGCTTCAAGAGCTAGCAAGCTTTTTTCTCCTGGTGATGTTTTGAAGCTTTCTATGACTCTAATTGTTCTCTTTATTATATGTTCCGCCTTTTGTAAAGTAGTTGTTCTAGACTGCAGCTCTAAAAACAACATTGACATTTCCTGAAGCGTGTCGTACATTAAACCTAAATCTAATATAAATTCTGGACTCTCCAATCTTCTTAATAACCCTTGATATGTGGAATCGAGATATGTTGATGATTTGAAATGATGGTGCAATGACTCGTATGACTCCCAGACGGTTTTTATTGTTCTAAAACTACTTGAAATCCATCGTACTCCTAAAATTCGACCCACTTTAGCAAATCTTGTTCCTAATTCATGGCAAGCTTCCTCCAGAGCACGACAATTTTTGGGAGATTGGCTATATAATGAATACAGTTTGTCCATAAAAGCTTTTAAATGGTTGATTCCGCGGACTTCTTTGATAGTATCGCCAACAGAAAGCTCTAATCTATGGTTGAGGCAGTGCCATGCAAAAGGTTTTGGAAACTTTTGCTTAAGTCGAGTTACGACTCCCGAATGTCTTCCTACCATGACACTTGCCCCATCAGTCGCAATTGCTATCCAATTTTCTTTTAAATATTCTTCGTTCAACCCATGTTTATACAAAGTATTCAAAAGCTCTTTTTCAATATTTTCTGAGTCTTGGCATTGTAATTCACACAAATCAAAGAAAATATAATCAATACTTTCTCCTCCTAAATATGCTTTCAAGAAAATGACCAAAGTTGATTTATTACTTAAGGTTGTTGATTCATCAATTAGTATAGTAATTTTTGAATTTGTTGACAAAATCTTCGCAACAATCATTTTCCGCATTTCGCAGGCTATATGGTTTATTATTTGTGTAGCAGAATATCTGGAGTGAAGAGTCGATCCTAATTTAATGCCATTTAATGTTTGTAACGTGATATGATTTTCATAATCAGAATATGGTCTATTTGTTTTAGCGATATTATAAGCAGTTCTAAAAAGCTTAATATTTTCATTTCTACTTCAATGTTCATATTGTTTGCATATTCTTCTAATTTATTTTTTTTTCTGTCTTTCTTAATATTCTCAGCTATTTTATGAGCTTCAGACTCACAATGCTTTTTAATTTTCATTCGAATGTTTGATAATTTGCTTGCCCGATCTTTTCCTGCTGCTTCTATTAGGTAGTTACTCCATTCTGGTGAAATATGAATTCTTTCACTTTTTGCAGCCCCTAAAGTTTTAACACTTGCGCAAATGTTACATCCGAGTCTACCTTTGGAAATTGAAAGCCATGGATACTTTTCCTTAAATTGAATATATTGGGAATCATTCCAAACTTCAAATTTGGAATCCTGGTCATTCATTTTCTCTGGTGAACTATTGATCAATATATCAGCTCTTTTTGAGATAGTACTTGCATTTGATGTACCAACAGTGTTTTTATTTCTTTTAACAGCTTCTTCTAGTTCATTCTTTTCTGCATTTTCTTCTACCTCCAAACTTCTTTTAGTACATAAATTTCCTGTCTTCAACCAGCGGTCCATAATTAAACAGAAGAGTTATTTTCGAAAGCTAGTATAAGTACAGAAAATTTAAATTTCACTTATTTTAACATTAACAAAATTTAGATACTTACTTAATCTATTTGTTTTGAATAAAATCTTTATTTTATTTATTTTTTTAAAAAACAAACACCAACTTTTCATCAACAATTAAAAACAATTTAAATAAGCTTTTAAGCCAGTATCAATAAACTTACTTAAAGAAGTTTTCAAAATTATATTTTTTTGAAAATCAATGTTATTTTGTCAACAGCTTTTGCTAACTTCAAATAAACTAAAGAATATGCAAAATTAACGTCCACAATATCGTAGTTTAGCATGGTTACCATAGCAACTTCAGTTAAAGAAGAGTATTTGATAAAATTCAAATATATTTTCAATTGTATAGAATTAGAAGAAAATCGTTTTAAATCGAAAACCAAATTGTTTATGTATTAGTTTACATCACTGCTGGATAAATACAGCATTGGTAATAAGAGAACATCTATCTTGAAGAAGTCGTTTTTACTTTTTTTGACGTGACAACGTCTTAAAT